TTCCATTTTCTGCCATGGTGGAGTTATGAGCACCAAATATGCCCTTACTTCATAAGAACTAGAAGAGTAGAACAAATATATAAAGCAACTATTTTCAAACTTTGATAAAATGGGCAGTACAGAACTATAATCCCTGAGATTCATATGAAATCTCAAGAAATCCCAAATAGCCACAATAATCTTGATAGAAAAGAACAAAATTGGAGGCCTCATACTTCCTGGTTTCAAAACTTATGACAAAGGTACAGTAATCAAGAGTGTGGTATTGGCATAATCATGGACATATAGATCAATGAAAGAGTGCACCAAAATAAACTTGCACATACATAGTTAAATGATTTTTGACAAGAGTGCCATGACCATTCAATGGGGAAATGACTGTCTTTTCAACAAGTGGTACTGGGAAAACTCTATACTCACATATATAAAAGAATAAAGTTGGACTCTTACCTAACATCATATTAAAATATTAACTCAAAATGGATTAAAGACCTAAACAATAGAGCCTAGACTGTAAAATACCTAGAAGAAAACTGGGGAAACACTTAATAATGCTACATTTGGCAATGATTGCTTGGCTAGGACACCAAAATCACCAGCAACAAAACAAATATCAAAATTTAAAATTTTGTATTTCCAAGGATACGTATTATTAACAGAATGAAAAGCAACCCAAAGAAGATATTCATAAATCACATAGCTTTTAGAAAATTAATACCCAGAATATATAAAATACCCCAACTCAACAACAAAAAAAATCCTAATTTATAACTGTGCAAGGACTTGGAATATTTCTCCAAAGACACACAAATTTTCCCTATCATTTTATCATTTTTAATAAATAGTTTGTTTAAAAAGATACAAAGCCTTGACGTGTGTGGCTGAGTTAGTTGGGCATTGTCTTGTCTTGCAAAGCAAGTGGTCACCAGTTTGATTCCTGGTCAGGCCACATGCCTGGGTTGTCAGTTTGGTCCCAGGTTGGGATGCGTATGAGAGGTAACTGATCAGTGTTTCTCATATTGATGTTTCTCTCCCTCTTTTTCTCCCTCTGTTCCCCCTCTCTAAAAATAATAGAAATAAGAATCTTTAAAAATAAAATAAATTCCCAGCAACAGTGTACTGGGCTTCTCTTTTCTCTGCAACCTCGCCAACACTTGTTTCATTTGTTTATGATGGCCATTCTCACTGGTGTAATGTGTTATTTCATTGTGGTTTTAATTTGCATCTCTCTGATATCTAGTGTTGCTGAACATCCTTTCATATGTCTTTGGGCCCTCTGTGTGTCCTCCTCGGAGAAGTATCTGTTCAGGTCCTTTGTCCATTTTCTAATTGGATTGTTTCTCTTCCTGGAGTGGAGTCGTGTGAGTTCTTTATACATTTTGGAGATCAAACCCTTGTCCGAGTTATCATTAGCAAATATATTTTCCCATATGGTTGGTTCCCCTTTTCAGGCAATTCCACCACTGGGATTATTCCCTAAGAATCCTGAAACACCAGTTCAAAAAAATCTATACATTCCGGTGTTCATAACAGCACAATTTACAATAGCCAAGTGCTGGAAGCAACCTAAGTGCCCATCAGTAAATAAGTGGATCAAGAAATTATGGTACATTTACACAATGGAATACTATGCAGCAGAAAGGAGCTCCTACCCTCTGCGACAGCATGGATGGCATAGGATAGCATTACGCTAAGTGAAATAAGCCAGGCGGTGAAAGACAAATACCATGTGATCTCACCTAGAAGTGGAACCTAATCAACAAAACAAAGGAAGCAAAATATAACTAGAGATATAACAAACTGACAGTAACCAGAGGGGAGGGAGGAGGAGGATAATGGGGGAAAGAGGAAGGGTTATCAAAGAACATGTATAAGGGACCCATGGACAAATCCAAAGGGGTAGGATTGAGGGTGAAAGGTGGGGGTGGGTGGGGTGGAGGAGAGTGGTGGTGGTGGTGGGGAAATGGAGACAACTGTACTTGAATAAAAATAATAAAATAATAAATAAACCACTAATTATGTTATGGGAGAAACCTGGTTCTTCTTGCCAATGCTGTAAAATACTGCAGATCAACATATCAGCATGTAAGCAGGACTTAGTAATGATACGTTCTCATGGAAGAGAAAAGGCCCAGCTGAGATTGGGGAGAAAGGCAAGAGCATGGGTGACAAAAGCAGGGGGGGCAAGAGCATAAGGTCCTTCGTTCTGAGAATTTATGTAGTTGGTGGAACGAGGGTGAAGAAGTTACATATTGACTGACGGGTATGTGACTAACCAACCTTAGGTGTGTGTGAGGGTCTGTTAGCCCAAATCCTTATCTTGCTCCAGACTCTGTGCATCCTGTTGTAAAACAGATATGTGACAGGAAGCAGTTAATTAAAGTTGGGGCAGTTACCAGAAGTTATTTTTTTTAAGATTTTATTTTTATTTATATTTAGGGAGAGAGGAAGGGAAGGAAAGAAACATCAATGTGTGGTTGCCTCTTGTGTGCACCCAAGTGGGAACTAGGCCTGCAACCCAGGCATGTGCCCTGACTGGGGGGGACTGGGAATCAAACCAGCGACAGTTTGGTTTGCAGCCCTCACTCAATCCACTTGACCTACGCCAGCCAGGGCTTACCAGAAGTTATTTATGGGCTCTTTCTGTAAGCACTAGGGACTCCCTCCTAAAACAGATAGTGACCAGAGGCAGGCAATTAATCAAAGTTGTTGTATGGGCTTCTTCTTTAGGTACTGTGAACTCCCTCCCCTTTCCCCTTACAGGCCTTGGAACAAATAGTTTCAAGGCTTTCTTTACCAGGTGGTGGAAAACAATACATTGAATTTCAAGGACTGCCCTCCTCCGAGGCTATCATGGTGTTTTCTTGGGATGGAGGAACACCTGCCATTATCATCAGACCACGTTCAGGTCTGCTGAGTTAGTGGTTGAGACATGTCTCCTCCCTCCTTCCTGTCTTGGTTTACTACCTATCCCACCTAACAATTAGGTGTTATACTGTGACTTACAATATTGAGAGTAAATACATATTTGATCTTCAGCCCCTTCCTGGCACAGAGCTTTAAAAAAAACCCTTGGAATATCCTAAGGAGAGCCACAAAGTCATCTTCTGTGATGTTAATGATGCAACTAGGTCACTTACAGATGGGGGCTGGTCACGAGGGGAACCAACCACATGATTAGAGGGTTGGAACTTTCAGTGTCACCCCCAGGGAGGGAAAGGGGCTGAAGGTATAATCACCAAGAGTCAATGACTTAATTAGTCCTTTCTACAAAACGAAGCCTCCATAAAAACCCAGAAAGAAAGGGTTCAGAGCTTCCAGGCTGAACACACGGAGAGCACCTGGAGAATGGGGCATAGCGCACCCAGACAGGTCATAAGTTCTGTACCCCTGCCCACTTACCTTGCCCTATACACCTCTCCCATCTGGCTGTCCCAGAGTTACAACCTTTTAAGATAAACCAGTAATCAAGGAAGAAAAATGTTTCTTGGAGTTCTGTGAGCCACTCTAGCACATTAATCGAACTGGAAGGAGGTCCTAGGAACGTCCTGATTTTTGATAGTCAAAGCCCAGGCTGACAAACCTGGATTTGTAATTTGCATCAGAGGTGGGGGCAGTCTTGTAGACTGAGCCCCTAACACTGGGATCTGATGCTATCTTCAGGTGGCTGGTGACAGAGTGAGTTGTAGGACACCCAGCAGGTGTCGTCTCAGAGAATTGCTTGGTGATGTAGAAAAAAATACATATTGGAAACAGCATCAGAATTGTATTAGGTAAGTGCAAATCAAAACCATACCCATTATGAGAGTCATTAAAAAAAAACTGTTCCTTAGTGGCCCTTCCCCTAGTATCCCTCTCCCCGCTCCCCTCTGGGGGTAGGGTGGGAGGAGTGGTGGGGTGAAAATGAACCCAACTGTACTCCAACAATTAAAAACAAAAAGGACTTTAACCGAAACAATACAATTATATGGCTATAGACATTCAATAATCTGGTGTCCTTTGCTTGAAGATAAAAAATATTTGTAGGGATATGGCACCTATAACTAAATCTCAAAAAAATTATTCCTGAAGATAATGTTACCAAGGACAAATAAGCTGTTGCTCTTTGGATCTGATTTTAGAAAATTATTTTTTAAATCTGCAAACTATTTTTTTTTATTGATTATGCCATTACATTTGCTCTATTCCCCCCTCCCTTCCCCTCCACCCTGCATACCCCTCCCCCACCATCCCCCCCTTTAGTTCATGAACATGTGTCTCAAATTCTTTAGATTCTGTATTTCCCCTACTATTCTTACCCTCCCCCCTATCTATTTTCTATCTACTGTCTATACTACTTATTTTCTGTACCTTCTCCCCCCTTCCCCTCCTCCCACTCCCCTGTTGCTAACCCTCCCTGTGATCTTCATTTCTATGGTTCTGCTCCTGATCTAGCTATCCTCTTAGTTTGCTTTTGTTTTAGGTGTGGTTCTTAATAACTGTGAGTTTGCTGTCCTTTCACTGTTCATCTTTTTTATCTTCTTTTTCTTAGGTAAGTCCCTTTAACATTTCATATAGTAAGGGCTTGGTGATGATGAACTCCTTGAATTTGACCTTATCTGAGAAGCACTTTATCTGTCCTTCCATTCTAAATGAAAGTTTTGCTGGGTAGAGCAATCTTGGTTGTAGATCTTTGGTTTTCATGACTTGGAATACCTCTGTCCAGCCCCTTCTTGCCTGTAAGGTCTCTTTTGAGAAATCAGCTGACAGTCTGATGGGAACTCCTTTGTAGGTGACTGTCCCCTTAGCTCTTGCTGCTTCTAGGATTCTCTCCTTCATTTTAATCTTGGCTAATGTAATGATGATGTGCCTTGGTGTGTTCCTTCCCGGGTCCAACTTCCTCGGGACTCTCCGAGCTTCCTGGATCTCTCGGAAGTCTATTTCCTTTGCCATCTTGGGGAAATTCTCCTTTATTATTTGTTCAAATAATTTTTCAACTGGTGGTTGTGCCTTTCCCCCCTTCTGGTACCCCTATAATTCGGATGTTGGAACGTTTAAAGATGTCCTGGAGGTTCCCAAGCCTCTCCTCATTTTTCTGAATTCTTATTTCTTCATTCCTTTCTGCTTGATCATCTTTTTCTTCTGTCTGGTACTCTCCCTTGATTTGAGTCCCAATTTTCTTTCCATCACTATTGGTATCTTTTGTATCAGCATTCATTTCAATTAATTTAGCTTCCATATGTTTCTCTAATTTGTGACTAAAATCCACCAGTTCTGTAAGGATCTTTATAACCAGTGTTTTGAACTGTGCATCTGAAAGACTGGCTATTTCTTCATCACTTAGGTCTATCGGTTCTGGGGCTCTGAGTTGTTCTAGAGCCATTTTTGGTTTATTCGTGCTGTTTAGTGAGCGGAGCAAAGCCTTAGTTGTTTACCAGGACGGGGCGACACAGGTCGCTGGTTTGTGACGCTGTGTGTGGGGGCGGGGTCAGAGAGGGAGCGATGGCGTTCCTCTCCGCTAGCCCAGCAGCATCCAGTCACTCAAACGCCTCGGGCTTGCTTATGCGATCCTAATTTTGCGAGCCTACTGCACCGCCCGGGCTTCCCTTCTCACTGGTTTCTCCGCACGTAAATGCGCGCGACTGAGCGACCCACCGTGCCTATTCCCTGTGCGCTCCGGCAGCCAGCTCGCTGGCGATCAGCCCTCGGTTGCCTGCGCGCCCCGCGCACCGCCCCGGGAATTTTTTCTTGCTAACCTGCTCTGCTTCTGGCCTCGCTCCTCGTACCGGTCCAGCCGAGTATCTAGTTGTCCTTTGGACTCCGTATTGTCGATTTTCCGTGTGGCTTGGTTGTGACTGCTGTTAAAAATAGTTGTTCTTAGATTTGGTTGTGCACAGAGGCGAGGTGGACCCTCCACCTACTTCTCCATCTTGGCGGAAGTCCCCTAAATCTGCAAACTATTTTAAACATTTTAAAAAAACCCCAGAAAATTGCAAGTTTGATGAGGATGTGGACAAACTGGAACCCTTGTGCATTGCTGGTTGTAAAGTAAAATGATGCAGCCGCCACAGAAACCAATATAGTGGTCCCTCAAAAAGCTTAAAAATAGGATTACCATTTCTGAGTACACACAGAGAAAGAATTGAAAGCAGGGATTTGAATTAATATTTGTACATCAATGTTCATAGCTGCATTATTCACAAGAGCCAAAAGGTGGAAATAACTCAAATGCCCATTGACTGTGAACTAATAACAGATTGTATATGAGTCTATATTACTTACCTATAAGTAAAAAGCCATTGTGAAAGACAACAAGCATTAAAGCAAAAACAATAGCTACACCAAGGTTGTGGGTTTGATTACTGGTGAGGGCACATACAAAAATCAACCAATGAATGCATAAATTAATGGAACAACAAATCGTTTTTCTCTTTCTCCATAAAAATAAAAAAAACTTAATTGTTGTACAGTTTTCTGCCTTTTACTCCCATCCCAGTCCTCCCTACCTCCCTCCCACTTCTACCCCCGCTCCTAGTTTTTGTTCATGTGTCCTTTATAACTTGTTCCTGTAAACCATCCCCCTTTCCCCCGGAAACTCCCGCCCCTCTCCCCTCTGGTCAAATTTTTTTTAAAGAATAGCTATTTGGTGCCCAGCTAGTGTGGCTCAATAGACTGAGTGCTGGCCTGTGAACCAAAGGGTCACTGGTTTGATTCCCAGTGGGTGTACATGCCTGGGTTGTGGGCCAGGTGCCCAGCAGGGGGTGCACAAGGGGCAACCACACACTGATGTTTTTCTCTCTCTCTCTTCCCCTCACTAAAAAATAATTCTTTTTAAAGCAGCTTATTTGAGATGCACTGATTCAGCCACAAACCCAAATAATATTCTGATTAGGAGGCTAAGATAAGTGGTATTTATGAGAAAGGGAAGGGAACAATTACGATGGGAAGAATTTCTATAAGTCCAGATAAGCTAATATAGTGACACTAATTCTAAACAACATTTTTAATTTTCAGTACAGTTGTCATCAGTCCAGGAGTCGTATTTGCTTTCTTGTTTTCCTTGCAAACAGTTTTGTGGAACACAATGTTGCTTTAGGTCTAGTCCAAAGGTTATTTTGTTTTAACATTCCAAAGGTTTGAGACATGAGGCGAGCAAGGCTGTTCCTCTGGGGTGTCGGCTGCGACTCCATTTTCAAGTGGCTCCACTGCACATTATTTTTTTACAGAAATACTCTGAAAACTCAAACTTTGCTGAGAGAAATTAAATAAAACTTAAATGAATAAACATAGCATGTTTGTGTTTCTGAAGACTTGATAGTGCCAAAATGTCAGCTCTCTCCAAATTGATCTATAGGTCAATCCCAACCAAACTGGATTATACTCCTAAATATGAAGTGCAAAATAATGAAGCTTCTAGATAATGACACAGAACACCTTCATAACCTTGTTGTAAAGAAATACCTCAGACAAGACACAAAAAGCATTAACAATAAAGGAAAAGGGTAATAAAGTGAGCTATGTCAAAATTAAGCACCATTCCTTTTTAGGCCACCATTCGTATAGTAAAAAAGCAAGACAGAGTGGAGAAGGTACATTTACACACAACACATGTCACTGACAAGGGAGTCCTACCCAAATCATAGGATGACTTCTCGGGACAATGTAAGACAATGGCAGATGAAAAAAATGTTAAATGTGCCAAAAGATGCTTAACATCATCCATCACCAGGAAATACAAATTCCAGTTTCAACAAGGTATCGCTGTACACCCATCACAACAGGTGTACACCCATCACAATTACTGAATTGCTCTTTAGCCGACAACATCAAGAGTCAACAGAAGAATGGAACACATGAACTCATACACTAGTGGTGAAAGTATAACCTGGTACAGTTACTTGCACATGTATACTGTTACTAGTTTCCTAGGGCTGCCACAACTAGTACTGTAAACCAGTACTTAAAACAACAGACATTTATTATCTTAAAGTTCTGAAGGCTGGAAGTCCAAAATCAAGGTGTCAGCAGGGCCACACTGTCCCTGAAGCCGACAGGAGAGTCTTTCCTTGCTTCCTCCTAGCTGCTTCTGGTGATCTGCGGGCAGTCTTCGGCATTCCTAGGTTTGCAGATGCATCACTCCAATCCTCCATCTTCACATGACATTCTCCATTTGTCTCTTCACTTGGACTTGTTTTTATAAGGATACGAGTCATAATGGATTAAAGGTTCAGCATACTCTAGTATGACCTCATCTTGACTAAACACATCTGCAATGACCCTATTTCCAAATAAGGTCACATTCTCAAGATGGGAGTTAGGACTTCAACGTATCCTGTTAGGGTTGGGGGCCCACAACTCAGCCTATAATATACACCAGAAAGTACGTACAAGGATATTCATAAAAGCAAGTTTTCACAATAGCCAAAAGGTACAAACAATCTAGATGTCCACCACCATTAAAATGGATTTTTAAAACTTGTAATATATATTTTTAATAAGAATTGACTGTATTTCTTTTTTTAAAAGATTTATTTATTTATCTTTAGAGGGGAGAAGGGAAGGAGAGAGGGAGAGAAGTATCAATGTGTGGTTGCCTCTCACCTGGCCCCCACTGGGGGACCTGGCCTGTAACCCAGGCATGTGTCCTAACTGGGAATTGAACCGATGATCCTCTGTTTCCCAGCCCATGCTCAATCCACTGAGCTACACCAGCCAGGCACAATGCTCAATTTCTTAACCTGCATAGTGAGTTACACAGGTACAATGAGTTATACTCTAATCTTCTCCAGTAATGTAGTTGACAGAAAAGAAGCTTTGCTGGAAAATGCTTGATGCAAGTATGACAAAGAGTTAATAGCGGTATGTCAAAAGTTCATGCTTAAATAAGTGGAAAATAAGCAAAGTGCAAAAGTTTATAAAACATGTTGCCTTTTGGGTAAGAAGGGGAAATAAGAAAATATTCATTTGTGCACAATACATACAGCAAAGACACATGAGAAAGTAATTGGGTTGGTTACTTCGAGAGGGTTGGTAGGAATGAGGTGGAAGAGGGAGAAGACATGACTCAGGGCAGAAGATGAAGGGCTGTGACACTTAGAATCTTTTTGACAGTTCTGACATTTAGAACCAAGTTAACACCTCACATACCCCAAAATACAAGAACAAAACAGAAATAAGTCAATAAAATGAAATTCAAAACAGAATAAAATGAACTGAATAATCTAATGAATAAGTAGTAACATGACCATACTGAAGAGAAAAAAAATGAACCCAAGTAATTTTTAAACACAGTATCTAAACTATATATCCTCAAGCTGAACATAAAAAGAAATAATCAAATTCTGAACTCCAATTAGGAGGTCTCTTTTTGGCAGAGGTATAGGTTGGCAATTCTAGCAAATAAGCAAAAATACTGTGTAAATACCAGGAACCAGAAAGCTCGTCATTGTGGGAGAGTTACACATATAAAAGAGACCAGAGCGAACCCTGTGGTGATGGACTGGAATTGGTGGTATTAGTGTGAACTGGTGGCCTTTAATAAATATAGATATATGTGTGGGAATGTGTGTGTATTCACTCATATATAGGTACATATCTAGTTCTTAACTCTGTCAGCTGAGAGGGCCTACAAGCAATGGCACCTTGGTGGCAAATGAGCACTCTTGGCACAAAGACCTTGCATTCTCTCCACCAAATGTAGGAACCTAACAGACATGGCTGATTCCAGGGCTGATAACTGGAATAGCCCACTGTGCCAAAATGCAAAGAAAACACTCAATGAATGACAGGATTATGCCAAATGGCACAGGAATCAGCTTGAAAGGGCTCCCAATGGCTCAGTCTGAGACAATTTGAGCATCAATATAAATAAGAATAGTAAAGAAATATTAATTCATTGAATAAAATAAGAACCCAGAAGTCCAAAATGATATAAATGAATAAGGGGAGAGAAGAAAGCTTTCTTCTTTATAGCAAAAGACAACTAATAGACACAGAGGAATGCTGGGATTAGAAAATCACCGTTTGACAACCATCACATTCAGGCAAGAAGTACCCATGGATGCTAACTAGTGGGTATAATGTGAGGAGTAACAGACTACTTATAGAACCTCTACCTGCCTCAGAAGATGTCTCTAAATGACAAAAGAAAAAATAGTAACTTTAAGTAGGGAAACCTGACAGACACGACCTTAACCAAGAAAGTTAACACCAGAAATGAGGCAACTAGCATGTGCCTCCAAACATCTTTTCCAAGTTATTCCTGACAAAAGTGCATGAGGTGGGTTTAATTGCAAAAATATCAATGTATCAAACAAAATGAAATTGAAAGACCCTGAACAAAAGAACTGGCCTAAACTCTTTAAATATCAAGTCATGAAAAATAAGGAGGAAACATTCTAGATTAAAGCAGACTAAGGAGATGGTACAACCAAATCCAATGTGTAACTCAGGATATTCTGGTGCTGTAAATGACATTCTTGGCACCTCTGGCAAGGTATGAATCAGATCTATGATTAGGTGGTGGTATTATACCAGTTTAATTTTGATAACTACACTATCACTATGTAAGAGAATGTTCTTTATTTTAGGAAATACAGACAAAAGTACTTAGTGGAAAATGGGCATCACATCTGCAACTGATTCTCAATGCAAAAGTAAAAGATGTATATGCATGTGTATTATATGTATAGAAATACATGGGGAGAAAAACGGCAACTGATAGCAACAGTTTGAGGTGGAGGAGACAAGAGAAAAAGATCAGAGTAAAACAAATTTGGAAAAATGTTAACATATGGAGAATTTAGGCAAAAGATGTGTGTGTGTGTGTGTGTATGAATTCTTCATACTATTTTTTATA